TGTTACTGGCTAACTAATCATAACAATTAGAATCAATCAATCGAGATTCGTGCCTCGATGTTCCCAACTAAGAGCCCACAAATGGCTGTAATCTCCCGATAATTGCTTATAAAGTCCAACAGTTTTCGCATATTTTTGTCATTATTTTCAGAGGCATTACGCAGACAAATACCCGGCGTATCGATGACATTGACCACAACATTGCCTTTTGTAAACTTGTAGCATTGGGGGGTCTGGGAAACATTACAGATATAACTCATCCCTGGTCGCATTGTCACAGTTTTGAGTTCACCGGTTTTCATGTTTGTCAACATGAATCGGACGGGTGTCAGACAAATTGGCTGATCCCTGGCCTCATTCAACGTATTGTAAGTGAGATAATTGACAAATACGTTGATGAAAGTAGACTTTCCTACACCAGACTCACCCAATAATAGCATCGTTAATTCTTTTTTATTTGTGTATGTAAGCTATAAAATATAGTTAATATTAGCAAGTAGATAATAAATTAATTGTATTTATGGGCTTTAATCTACTGTTGGTGATGTCACAGGGTCACTTATATCATAAGGTAGGGCTAACTTTTGCTCCAGTTCGCGTGATGCCCTTACAGAACTTATGTCAAAAGGTACAGGTTAATTTTATTTTAATAAGTATAAAAATAACAATAAAAAATAGTAAATACCTTTCCCATTTGTCGATGCATTTTTGTTTTAAAACGTTAAATAACTCCATGTTATTTTGAGGGAACGGTAGGCGAAAAGTATTGTAAATTGCAATTAATAGCGACTATAAAAATAATAGTTATTTATCACAGTAATCAGTGTATAAATGCAAAGGAATTATGTTGAAACGGAAAATTAGGTTCAAATGACATAAAAACTATCAATATCAAAAACAAAGTTTGATAATTTAATTATTTTATTAACATATTACATAATGTTTGGTCGTTAAAATAAATTTAATAAGAGTTCAACTATAAACTTATGGGATTTCAAAAGGATGGCAATTTCAAATAACTTACCTTATTTTTCGTTAGTGAAAAGTTTCAAATTACACAGTTCTTTAATATTAAATTTTTGTTTAAATATATAGAGTTTATACTTTGCTTTATTTATTAATACTTTATTATAATTAAAATAGCATTAAAAATATGTATGAGTATATTTTTATTTTTTAATTCTAAAAATTGAAATTATAAAGTTTTACATATTGTTTAATTAAACTTATCTTTCCTATTACATACAGAAATGTTTATATTTATTTCTAAGATAATTTAAATAAAAAAAATTGTTTTTCTAAACATGTTCAAATATTTCAAAATGCCCTTGACAATGGTCAAATACGCTCAGTGTATTTAAAAAAATTATAATACTTTATTAAATTTGTGTTAAGAGTCTTAACAGTAAGTTTCAAAAGTAGGTAGCATTCACATTTAGTAAGGCTATAAGTATTACTATTTGTAATAATTTGTAATACGTGGAACTGACTGGTTAAGGCTCATAACTTTATTTGTTATATTGATACAATAATTGTAAGCATAAGTTGAAAAAGCATGCATTGAACGTAGTCATTAATACATGATTAATTTTAAAAAATGATAACTTAAAAAAATTCTTTCACTATCATTAAATTAGTCTAACTTTTACTAGCAGACTATGCACTGAAATCAAGGGTTAATATAAAATAATGGGTAGCATTATATTTTATTTGTGCTATAAATTAAAAATATTTTCGTAGTTTTAATTTTTTTTCTACATCTACTGTATAAAATAACATTGGAGTATTATTTTTTGTACAACTCTTATCTAATTAAAACCTACATGATTATATAGTTTAGCCATGCTAAATTAAGAATATCCGGGTCCGATAATCTATGGAAAAGTGTTTTGGTCTTAAACACTGGTCAAGTTCACTCATTTGGTGTAAATTTATGCATTATTTTTATGGTTCACTTTTAGAGAATGAGTAATGTAAAAACGTTAATATAAAAACTTTGAAAATCAGTGAAATATTGGAAACTTGATTACCGATTATGACCATACCACTTTCTCATAGATTATCGGACCCGATATTTTTAATTTAGAATGGCTAAACTATATAATCGTGTAGGTTTTAATTAGATAAGAGTTGTACAGAAAATGACACTCAATAGTTAGTAATATTTTTATTTTTAAAGAGATTATTAAAATTCAAAATAGAAATTATAAAAATTTCATTCGATGCATATAGATAAATTAAATATTAAAATAATTATTACTAGACATATTGTTATAATAAATTTATTATAATTAAAGTACAGATTTATTAAATGTATGGTAAAATTTATAATTAATTAGTAAAATATTTTTTAAGATAATTTTAATTAAAATTTTAGAAAATCTGTGTAAACCTAAAACCATTTGAAGGTTTTTGCTATGTAGCGTTTACTGTATATGAAATATTTATTAAACTTCTATCATACTTTTATTAAACTTATTCATTATAAAAGTATGATAGAAGTTTAATAAATATTTCATATACAGTAAACGCTACATAGCAAAAACCTTTAAATGGTTTTAGGCTTACACATCTTATTCCAAAACGCTTTAAGTTTACCAACAGTAGTGTTCAAATGTTCAGAATTAATAACTTGCTCATTATGGGCATGACTTTGAGCCTTGGACAATATCTGTGTGGCCAATAGTTTTTTAATAGCCTGCCCATTCCACTTCAACCCACATAGTTGCTTGATAATCTGTTCGATATCATCAACCGATATAGATCCATGTTCACTTTTCTTCATGGCATCCAATATAACTTTCTTTTCGTATTCATACTGTTCCAGCATTTGCGTCAATTTATCGATGGTCACCCTACTGCTACTTCCATCAAAGTTGCCTGCTTGTTCTTCATTTTTAATAATAACTTTCACGTAATCCTCAAACGCATCGTTAAAAGGTGTCAGGGCATTATTTTTAAGAAAACAAGCAAACTTAGCCATAGCTTTAGTTATAATATGAGTTTCCTTGGACAATTCTTCGATTTTAATTTCAAGCTTTTTAATTTGCTTTTCTTGAGCCAGGGACATTTCTTTGTTGGTAGTTATACGCTCATACTTGCTCTCATCCCGGACCTGTTTCTTCACGATCTTTGTCTCGTAATTGATATGTAGGTGCGTTTGATAGGAGTGGCCGCACCCGAAACACTTGTCCGATTTAGTTGTGCTTACCGTATGCAATAACATTTTACCATCTTTGCTGAGCTCAATATTAGTATCCGGCACCAAATTTTTAGGGTAATCCCAGTGATCGGGTCCTGTCCTTTCGTACTTATTGAACGCCTTACAGTCAAGGAGACCCTTATTGCCCACGATATTGCCGTCGCTGTGTGTCAAGTAGCAAGGTGAATGGCAATTAGTTTTGAAATGGGTCTTAATGTCTCCGTTGATATTCTCTTGTGTGCAACACTTCTTGTCACTGCAGACAGTCTTCGGTTGATCTAATGGTTCCGATTCGATGTCGACGGAAGGGATATACAGTTCCTTCTGGAGATCGTTTATATTACCCGTGAATTCGTGAATCTTTCGTTTGTGTCGTTCGCACTCTTTAACGTTATCCGAGATATTTTTGGCGATGTCTGCCAACGGTTGGGTCAATAAGATTATGTGTTGTTTGGAGTTATTGAGAGATAGGGTTTCCATTACTATGTGAGGGGACAGAGATATGATTCGCTCCAATAGTCGATCGCACTCCTTGACAGATCTGTATGTTAATTATAAAATAAAATTATTATTTAATAATAATAGTTTATGAATTTTTTATGCTAGGTTAAGACTGTAAATATAATATAGAATAATTTAATAATCACATAATTAATGCAATTATTAAGAATTGGACGTTGCAAACTATTCATTTTTAAATTTTACTATGGTCCAGTAATATCGCAAATAATATGAATATAATCATACAATAATTTTAATAAATTTAAGCGGTGATATTATTTATTTATAAAAAATTAATTTTAGTCATTATTTTTAATATTCTTACATAACTAAATATTAAAATTATTGTATCTATTAGACCCTAATAATTACTGTATCATGTAAGAAATTTTAACATGGTAGCAAATACATACCCTTCCCAACTGACTTCGTAATCACGTGTTAACATCTCGTCAAACACCATGTTATTAGGCGGTGCCGACGCCACTGCGAACCGAAAGGCCTCGTTATCGAAGCAATAGATCGTGGGTTTGCCGTAATTTATGTCCACAAACGGAGGTCTCTTTTTGATTTGATCCAACAATGTAATTAATACCGGTCCGGTATCTCCCGGTGCGTATTGTGTGGACCGGGCGTTGGTGAACAGGAATAGGATATTATCGGCCGCAGACTTATTCAAGTGACTGAACAACTCTAACAAACAATACTTGAAAACTACACTTACTTTCGCGTTATTAGGCTTCAGGAGCACACAAATGGCATTAATTTCCCGATAATTGCTAATAAAGTTCAAAATGTTTCTCATATTTGTGTTATCCTTATCAATACCCTTGGTATCGGCAATACCTGGGGTGTCGATTATATTCAGTGTAACATTGCCAATCTCAAACTTATAGCATTTGGGATATTGAGTGGCCGATTCAGTAGCATCTTGGGTATTTTCATTATTATCCTGTGTGCCCAGGGTCACGGTCCTTAATTGGTATGTCTCTCTGTCGGCAATTGTGAAGTTTACTGGTATGAGACAAATTGGCTTTTCCTTAGCCTGGTACATATTTTCATATGTTATATAATTAACGAACGCGTTGATGAAAGTCGACTTTCCCACACCCGACTCACCCAATAATAGGATTGTTATAGTTTTGTGGGATGTGCTGGCTATTTTCTCAAATGGCTTTTTAGGATTTATCTGTGGTTTCTTAGCATTGTTGCCTTGTAATTGATTTTCATTTAACAAAGGTTGAGCCAAATTATCAAGGTTTAAATTAATAATAAATGGTGTTAGGCCACATAGATATTGCAGTAAACGCTTGCATTCATTGACTGATCTATTGATTAAATAAATAAATAATTAATTAATAAAATTATATAAAATATATTAATTAAATCATAGTTCATACTTTGGCCAAGACACATCATGTTCATGTTGTAAGTCTCTGTTGAACACCATATTATTGGGTGGAGCAGTGGCCACCAGGTGTCGGAAAGTCTCGTTATCAAAGCAATACATTTTATCCTTGTTAAAATTAACATCAATACCAGGATTATTTTCGGCCACTTTGATAATAGCGGTTTTGATAGCCAATACAGTTTCTCCAGGGTTTCCAGCGTTCGGGAATATAAACAACAGATTATTAGTTAAGCTCTTATTTAAATGATTATTAAGTTTCAGCAAATAATTCTTAAAAATGTAGTCAATTCTTGTGTTATTAGGTTTTAAGAGCACACAAATGGCTGTAATTTCCCGATATTTGCTAATAAAGGCCAACAGATTCTTCATATTTGTTTGACTTTTATCGACGTCATCCGTATCTTTAATATCCGGGGTATCGATTATATTGATATCATATTTATCAGTTGAATATTGATAGCATTTGGGACAATCTGATGGATCTTTAGCATACGTGTCCTGTAAGACAATTGTCTTGAGTTCATAGGTATCCTGGTCCATTAACGAGAATTTCTCATTCAATAAGCATTTGATGTGTCCATTTCTGGCCTCATCCATAGTATCGTAAGTCATATAATTGACGAATGCGTTGATGAATGTAGACTTTTCCACCCCCGACTCACTCAACATAGCAAGGTGATTTCGTTTTGTTTATCACCAAGGTTTCTTTGGGTGTCCTGTTTTCGTTCATTTCCCATTGGTGGCGCCATATTGACAACTAAAGTTGGAAGTCCACAAATATAGTCCAATAGTCGTTTGCATTCCACATTAGATCTAGTTAATAATAATAATAAAACAGTCTATAATCTAGTAATTATTAAAATTAAAGAAATTACCTTTTCCATTTTATATCCTGGTCGGTTTTCAAGTCTGTACTTAACTCCATATTATTAGGTGAGGCAGCTGCCACGGCATATGTGAATGGTTCGTAATTTATACAATAAATTATTTGCTTATTGTGTTTGATATTGATATCCGGATTGTCATCCCTGACACGATTCAATTCAGATATTAATATCGTGACCGAGTTTCCCGGTGTTTGGGTATTACTGTAGAGGAACAGTATGTTATCGGCCGCAGACTTATTCAAGTGACTCAACAACTTTAACAAACTATTCTTGAAAATCAGGTCAACCCGAGTGTTGTTGGGCTTTAAGAGAACACAAATGGCGCTAATATCCGAATAATTGCTAATAAAGTCCAACAGATTCTTCATATTTCTCTTATCCTGTTCCACATCATCCGTATCGCCAATATTCGGGGTATCGATAATATTGAGCTCAATGTCATTGATTGAAAACTTATAGCATTTGGGATAATCGGGTTGTGTTTTCCTCGCATCCAGCTCAGTATAGCCACTAATTCCGAGTTTTACATTCTTAACCTCGTATGTATCAGGGTCAAATGAGCTTAGGTTTTCGGGCACTATACAAATCGGCTTCTCACTTCCCGCGTAAAAGTCTTTGAAACTTAAATAGTTAGCCAAAGAGTTGATGAAAGTAGTCGTTCCCACACCGGACTCACCCAATAACAGAATTGTTAGCTTCTTTTTATTGGACATGACTTGTAATAAAAATTAATTTTTTATGTTATTTGTTAATATAAATACTAATGTTAATTATAGATTTATGGAAATATAGTAATTGAATAATAATAAAACTATAAAGAAATTTAATCATAAAATGTCCCGTCGTATTATTTAGTAATTAAATTGCAACAATATAAAAATTATTACTATTTATTAATTAATGAATACTTACTTGTTATACAATAAGTTTGAACAAAATTGATCAATATATTAATTTTATATCTTAAATTAATAATTGATATTATAATTTACTTTATATTTTAACCCTCATTTTATACTAGATACTGTATTAATAATCTGATTTACAATACAGTACACTATCATAATACATGTTAGCATGATATTTCATCGGAAAATGATTCATTTAGTTACTAAATTTTAGTATAACAACATATTTTATCAAACTTGAATTAGATAAACTATGTTATAAGTATTACATGATATTATCAAATATTTATATTACCAAAATAAATATGCAATTTTTATCAAATAAATGTTTATATTATGAATGCAATCGGAATTTGTTTTGGCATTAATATTTTAAACACAGACAAATTATGTCACGTGGCATACAGTAACTGTAATTACAAACTTTCAAGATTGAAACAAAATTCAATACATAATATTTTATTAAGTTTTGAAATATACAGTAATATGAGTTTTAACGAATCGTTTATCAATAGTTCAATTTTGTAAAATTTGCTTTTATTTTTGCATACAGTATACTGTAATATAAATAATATTTATATTTCAATTTGTATTTCATTTGAATGTCATAAAAAATCATATTTAATATAAATATGAAAAAGAAGATTGTCAGGATCCTGCTAAGCTGGCAATCGGGATTTTTTGGTTGTATATGAAAGTTCTTTTAATGCTGAGTCCGATTATGTAATTTATATTGTCCTGTGACCTCTGGTTCGGCCCCAGTGACCACTTTAATCGGGAAATTTTTAATATAAAATGTCAACATGTGATATATCGATTTTATAGAGAATTTTACGTAGAATTCGATGA